GATAAACATATCACAAAGAAACTTTATGTTCTCTTAATCTACACGGCTACACCGAACATTATTGTGGTACTCCCTCCGTGTTTAAATAAATGAAACGTTTTAACTTTTTACAGCATTAATTCAATTCACTTTGACTAATGTTTGTGATTTATACCTAAGAATAAATATATTCATGTGGGTACTTGTTGGAATCGTCTCAATGAATAGTTTATTACATTAATATTCAATTGTTATAATTTTATTATAAATAAAGATATTTTTAGTCAAAGTTTTGCATTGGCATACATATAACGAAAAATGTTTCTTTTATTTAAACACGGAGGGGTAAATTAAAGGTTACTCACTCACTCGTACTCCTTAGGGAGAGTTTGGTACATGGGAATTGAGAGTGGGAATGAGAATTTTAATCCCAACTCAAAAAAATATTTTTTTTTGTTAGATAGGACTGGGAATAAAGAGGGAAATGAGATTGAGAATAAATGGGGTGAATTCCCACCATTTTATTACTTATGAAGGATATGTAATAAATGAAGGATAGGTAATAAAAAAACCTTGATTATTAATTGACATTTTTGTCATTAATGAAAAGAAGGGAGGTGAAAAGTTAATAAGGGTAATTTTGTATTTTTGTTATTTATTCCCTTCTTATTCTTATCCATTACCCAAACAAAGTATTGTCATATTTTTACATACTAGTTTAAGTCCTGTGCAACGCACGATTTTACTTTAACCTAATTATGAATTACTATATTGGTATAACAATAATATTTTTTAGAATAAATCAATATTTTTAATTGAAAGAATACTTGAATTTCTTTTCAAAAAAAAAAAAAAAAACCTAGAATTTTATGTTATATATATTGATATCAAAAGCTACTCATATTGATCATCAAACATTTAAAAAAAAAAACGCAAATTTCATGAATATAGGATTTTATATAAGAATGAAATTTTATGTTATTTATAACCCGTGCAATGTACTTATATACGCCATATGTCTCTATTTTGTTGGCATATTTTGACCAGCACAATTTTTTATAGCATACTTTGATCGGCACTAGTGTTTTATACAAATTTAATTGACTTTTTTTTTTTTAATTTTTATTTTATATTTATAATTATTAAACTGTAGTGTTATTATTATAAATAAATTAACAAATATATAATAGAAAGTTAAAGTGTTAATACTAATTGGAGAAAAAAAAACTTTTAAAGGAAAAAATACGACGTAAAATGATACAAAGTATGGCAGTAGTACATTATTCTAATAATATTACCTTATATACGTAGTGTCGTAGTACATGTTTGTTAATTATAAAAAAATACCTATTATAAAATATATGAAAATATGTTAAAATATTTTCATTGAATGCATATAGAATATAGTTGCAAAATTAAAAGTTAGATATTATATGATATGTAAATTAATATGCACGAAGATTTGAAAAAAAAAAAAGAAATGAAAGTGGTGGGAAATTTTTTAATCGGAATATCATCTGAGATTCGCTTTTACTATAATGTTATTGATTGATTGATTATTATATTATTGATTGATTGATTCCCAACTATCTATTCCTAGTCTCATTCCCACTTTTTAATCCCCAAACTCCTATTTCCACATTCCAAATGCGCCGTTATTATCCTAAAATAATACTCTCGCCGGTTGAAATTCCCCTGAAACGGGAGTATGACGGCGACAACGTAGTTGAAACGGCCGCCGTTTCGCCGGAAGATGACCACATGACGACCCTTTCTCTCCATACTTTCGGCGAATCCAACGATGATAATCATAATCATGGCTTCACTATACAAATCATCGAGGTACTGAATTCTCACTCATCATCTCATATTTTTACTGCTACTATTAATTTGAAGATTTTACGCTGATTATTGTTTTATGTTATTTAATTTTATTTGTAGAATATGAGAGAAGAGTATGGTATGTTTGTATGGCCGTGCAGTGCTGTTCTTGCTGAATATGTTTGGCAACAACGATCCCGCTTTTATGGAACTTCGGTTATTGAGGTCATTTTTTCATTTTTATTTTTATATAACACTCTTCCATATTTTGGTGTTCTGTAATATGCAAATTTGATTTATATAATGTGTGCAATCACTTTTTAATAATTTAATTTATGCTATCTACTCTTAAATTTCCTTTATTAAGAACTTGATTATATAAGGGCACATCTTTATTTGACAAGTAATATTACATTGATATTGCGGAGTGATTAAGAAAAATTAGTCGAGTAGAGGGTATTTTTAGAGTTAGGGAGAGGGCTAGTATGTGCTGAATTGGGTTTATTTGGGGATGTGGTTGCAGCTGGGTGCAGGAACCTCCTTGCCTGGATTGGTAGCGGCGAAAGTCGGGGCAGATGTCACTTTGACGGACGATTCTAAAAGAGTGGAGGTTAAGGATTTTGTCTCCTTATGCCTTATCAAAGTTACTTGTTGCTGCATGATTCTATACTTCATGAGTAATTTGATGCTAATTTATTAATCACAACTACATGGGTTAATTGTTGTAATGCAGGTGCTGGAGAACATTAGGAGAGTTTGTAACTTAAATAAGCTGAGCTGTAAGGTAATGTCTGACCCCCGTCTTATTTTGCTTCATCGTAAAATTTTGGATAAGTTCCGAAAAGTCTGAAATTTGCTGCATTTCGGTTCATGTTGTGTTCAATTGTTTATATGGTTAAAGCAACAAATAGGAAGGAAATAAATCTGGCCAGAAACTTCAAGGGGTTATAATGATACAAATTATTTCTTTGTGAGTGATTAAATTTTACTTGCATTTGTCTAGAGAACATTCATAATTTCATTTTTGTAAGAGGAGGAATTTCTCTTGCAATTTAATGCTTTATGTGGAAGGGAAGGGTTCTGCTTAGTAAATGACTGGCATAAAGATAAATTCTCTCCCCCATTTGCCTTTTTTGTTTTTACTATGTTTATCGACTATTTGATTTCATCACTCTATTACCGGTTCATAATTCACATATCTTTGCCTGCTAACCTACTCTTGATGCAGGTAAAGGGACTCACATGGGGAATCTGGGATGCACAGATATTCGAATTGCATCCCCAAATATTACTTGGAGCTGATGTATTGTATGATACCAGTGGTATGAGAAACCAAGGCTTTTGTTTTTTGTGCCTTTAATCTTTATACTAGTAAAAGCTAACACTGATACTATAACCGTTTCATTTAAGCTAGCCTTTGATGATCTCTTCAGCACTGTCGCATTCTTGCTTCAAAGTACTCCAGGATCAGTTTTTATAACAACTTATCATAACCGAAGGTTTGTATCTATTTAATTATTTATACTGCCATATATCATCCACAAAATACCAATACACTTTTGTTTTGGCTCGTCTTTCTTATTCTTATGCATATGCAGTGGACATCATCTTATAGAATTCTTGATGGTTAAGTGGGGTTTAAAATGTTTGAAACTCTTGGATGCTTTCTCATTTATGCCATCTGATAAAGCATCTGGACTTAGTGGTAATATTCAACTAGCTGAAATTGTTTCCGTTAGCCAACAGGGTAAGTTGTTTCTGACTTATATGTCTTGTTGGATTTGGATATTTCATGTTTACATGGATATCCAATTTTATTAGACGACTCTCTTTGTTACAGTGACATCTTGCTCCAAAGACGGCTAATTACCAATTGCTTTCATCTTCGCTGTGGGGTTGTAGTCTTCAAATTACCTCGGATTGAATGCTGCTGTCGTTGTCTGAGACAGCAGTCCTGGGCTAAGGCTGACAATTCCTAACAAATGAACTGATGTGCTCAGCCAAAAAAAAAAACCCAATGAATTGATATCCAGTTCAGAAAAGCATTTCACTGCAGGAAAAGTTATACATCTCCCTGGAATAGCATGCAAGACACTGTCTACAGGGTACCATAATTCAAATTAATTTAAATTTTGAGGCGTAAGTTGCTGCTTTTTAAGGAATATATGAACAATTTCTGTTGAACTTGATTTTCTGTGGATGTTGAATAATTTTCAAATTTTCTTACAAATGCCAGATAGAAATGTCTCACCACAGGTCTCTTTTGCCATTTCGGAGCCTGTTAAAATGAGAGGCTTTATCATATTAAGTCTGAGTAGTTCATCTAGGTGGAAATTTAGAACCTCTGTGAGGACTAACAACTCTTTTGAGAGATAGTCTATTGTATTGTCCAATAATATTTGAGACACATTTGAACTCCTTACTTTACTTGAAATGAGCAAAATATTGTCTTTCTTTGTTTTTAATATTGGCGATCATTTTGCTCTTTCTAATATTCTATGGGGAGGGGTTTGGGAGGTGAACTTCATTCAGAATTTAAAAAATTTAAGTTGATTTGTAGCTAATCCATCACAATAGACAATACTGCTATCTGCTTTGTAATACTGAAGCAAGTAGGATACACTTCATTCAAATGACAATGCAGTGCACTGCCAGATTCAATCAAGACCTCTTTTCCCTTGCCCAGGGATCTCAAATTCTCAACAAATAACCTTATTGTTGATTTTCCTCTGAAATAATGTTTTTAAGATGATTCATCCTAGTATGACTTTATGAAATAGGGGAATAAAAGGCTCACACACAGCAAACTAAGGCAATCCATTGTGCTTGATTGCCTTGACTAAACTTTTCTAATGGTCTACATTGTAGTATTTAACTTAGATATCCCGAAGGTCAATTTGCCTCAATTGACCACCCGGCAATTCTTTCGCACTTCCTGCCCTCCTGTGATGCTGCTCATCTTGATCATAGACTTAGCAAATGCCTCATAGAAAGCTTTCTTGGAACCAGCATATTGGTAAACCAATTTTTTGGTGCTTGGAGAAGTGAGCAAGGCTTGGTCTGATGAAAACAGGCTCTTTCCTTGAAGAATTAGCTTGTAATATGTGTTATCAAACATTGTTGGGGAAGGATCCATGTTGGAACCAGCATTTTTCACTTGGCTGTGTGCAGGGCACACTCTTTTTAAGCTGGCAGCAAAGGAAGGATTTATTGAGGGGTCAACGTCATGAGTTGTGTCAAAGTTGTGCAATCGGTTTTGGAATGACGAGCAGTGGGAGAACCCGAGACTGTGTCCACCTGCAGAATGGAGAAGGTTAGTTGAGTTTTTTGTATTCTGAATGTCTAGCATTGATGTTAGGGGTTAGATTACTCCTTCCCCTGTTGTTTTCTTAACCTGAAAGAGCTACTAAATCTCCAAGGTTTAGGCCTCTTTGAGAGAAACTTTGTTGGAGCTGAGATAAGTTGAATGTGGGTGCTGGAAGTTGTCTTGTTTCACTGGCAAGTGATGTTCTCCCATCTTTCCTTCCTTTAGGCACATACCAAGTGGGACCACCTGCCTGTAAACATGAGAATGAAGCTAGTTCGTGAGAGAATTACAGATGCTGGAGAATCACTTTGATCAAGGATCGTTTCTGAGGTTGATAGGTATCTTTTAAAGATATGAAATTGATTAGAAGATGTAGATGAAGGAAAATATATGTTAACTATAAGAAAAAAAAAGAAAAAGAAAAGTTGGACAATTTGGGTCATCACTGAAGACTATGTCCTTTGGACTTGCAGCATTTGCTTTTTTCTGTTTTCTTAATTTCTATTAAAATGTGCTATAAAGCCTGTGTACTGTTTACTTACAAGGACTACTGCGTCCCTTGCAGCTAAAGCCAATATGTCAGCACATGAGACAACTCCTGGACATGCAGCTTCTACTGCATTCTTTGCATTGTCAATGACAAAAAACGCATGCAGCGAAAGGTTTGGAGGTCCGGATTTCTCTACTTTGCTGTTCCCAAATTTGTCTAGAAGCACAGAAGCATCACATCCCTTTTAAAGGAGAAAAAGGATTTTTCCCGTTAGTTGAACACATACAAACATAAAACTCACACATGATGACATAAAGTTAAAATATGCTGGCAAAGTTTGGAGGGTGAGATTTATACCCTTATGAAGCAATCATGGAAATGCAGGCGAAGCAGGGCAGCTGGGACTGTTTTATCTTCTGTGAATGCTTCCTTGACTACATTTGTGATGATATCCTCCACCGAAGGACATGTCTTATCATAGTAATTTGAGCTCAAAGCATCACCAAGGGAAAATACTGAGGAAATGAGAAGGGAGCTGAAGACTGCAACTGCAATTGCCATGGTGCGACACTCTGAACTGTTACTTTCTCTTAGTTTATTGTTGAAAGTGAAAAGGGTCCGAACGAGTATTTATAGGTACATGAAGAGAGAGAGAGTGAGTGAAGGTGATATAGAGATACTGACATAGAGAGTGACAGAATAACAGAGTTGTTAATGTGACAGATTTTGGATGTTGGTTTACTAGTGAATTAGTTCAGCCTAATGGTGATGAGTAATATTTAAGCATCCTCATCAGCAGAAATTCTGATCATATCTCCACTTTTATTCCTCAACTTTTCCCCAAATTATCAAGGTTACTTTTACTTGGTCTCTCCTGAATCTTCTGCATGTGATCCTATAGTGGTTGAGGACTCGAGGTTGACCGTGTCCTCACATGAGGTAGCTAGTAATGATTCTTCAACCAGGAGGTTAATTCTGTTGCGATATCACATTTGTTGCATGAAGTGCTCGTATATGCCATTCTTGCAATGTGAGTGTCAATCGATTGTTCTTAACATACAAAGCGTTCTATTGTTTTTCTTGCAACATTTTTGACACAATGCAGATTCATTCGGCCTGTAATAGTTTTATCTTGATTAAGCTACGCTAATCTTAGTTATTCGAACTCTTCAAAAGTGATCTACTCGTTTGAGTTTTATCGACTAGGAGACTGTCGTTTCTGTCACTATTTTTCGCCATTAGACACGGGCATATGGGACTAAGGGATAATAATTGGAGAGTTAAAGAATGAGAAATGTTAACTGTATGAGATGATAGGATAACACTCCTCGTGATTGGTTTGATAGGTGTATATTTGTTTCTTTTTGTGCCAAGTCAAAAAGAAATGTTACTTGGAAGGGATGTGATTAGAAAAAACACATGGTTAGAGTTGAGCTATCACGTTCGTTAATCACTGTTTCTTCTTTAATGCTTGCTGTTTAAGCTACAATTATTATTATGGAGAAATAATGCAGAGCTCAAGCTAATAATAGATACTTCAAATAAATCAGGTAGTAGGATTACATGCTTAAGCAGCTACTAGCCGAGAAGATACAGATTAACCGCATAGTAGTACTAATGCCTACTGTTAAGCTAACGACTAATGACTGTTTACTGAATTGACTGGCTCCCATTGTCGGTGTCTTACATTATTATTGCATGGCTTTACCAAGTCTCTGTCGGCAACTGTTGGCTGTTAACTCTGATGTACGCATACGGAGTAACACATTTACAATTTTTATTCGGGCATCTATTTAATACCAAGGGGTCAGGGATCTAGGAAATAAGAATGTGAGAGACTGTAATTTGCACGCAAGTGTAAGATGGACATACATCCTTTCTTTAATTCATTAGAAAGAATACTTCGTGCCCTTCAAAATTAATTGTCCCTCATGAAGGTTCATTATGATTATACTTATATATTCATTAAGAATGTACTTTGTAAAATGGTGGTCTCCTAACAATTTTTTTTCTTTTGGACGATTTATTTTTGGGATAGAAAATACAAAGTATGACACTTACGTACGTTTAAATAGTACAAATTACACTTATTTCCCTAGGAGTAGGAGGGATGAAAATGTTTTCAGTAGCTATGAATATATTTAGGAAACATCCAATAATAGTAAGTTCTTGTGGTCATCCTTGGAATTATGGTGTTTTTGTTACTTCTTTTATTTCTCCTAATACTAACTTCTCTAACTCATTGCCTTGCTACTCGTATGAAATTTCCATGTGATGCATGTTGAAAACTACTAAAAACGTTAAGGGTTTTAAATAAATCGTATATCACATCCTGAAAAATTCTTATAATCACGGCCTCCCTTTCTCATTAACTTGCAAAAAGGAATATATAGTGTTACAAACTTCCTAACCCTAGAATTAACAATATTCTAGGAAGATATAATTTGACTAAAATACAAGATAATATATCCTAACAAATATTTTATAAGATAATATAATTTCCAAAAATATATTATACGATATTATCTCATTACCCCCCCTCAAGTTGGAGCGTGAGGATTGGAAACGCCCAACTTGGAAAGAAGATAATCAAACTGAGATTTGCCGAGAGCCTTGGTGAAGATATCCGCGAGCTGTGAGTTGGTTGGAACATGAGAGGGAGAGATCAAGCCTTCGGTAATTGCATCTCGAACAAAGTGACAATCGATTTCAATGTGCTTCATACGTTCATGAGAACCTAGGTTCTTTGCTATGTACAGAATTGACTCACTGTCACAAAATAATTTAATTGCCTTCGGATGCTGAACACCTATACTCAACATCAGAGCTTTTAACCATTTAAGCTCACAAGTAATAGCCGCCATGGACCTATATTTGGCTTCTGCCGATGATATTGACACTGTGTGCTGCTTTTTAGTTTTCCATGAAATAGGTGACTTGCCAAAAAACACTAGCCACCTAGACAAAGACCTCCGAGTAAGAGGACAGGCGGCCCAATTTGAGTCACACCAACCCTGCAGATTTAAGTTACAATAAGAGCTCAAAAGAATACCCTGTCCCGGAGTACCCTTTAAATAGCGCACCACTCTTAAGGCCGCTTCCCAATGCTCAATGCGAGGTTCCTGCATAAATTGAGAGAGAACGTGAACCGAATAGACTAAGTCGGGTCGTGTTACCACAAGGTATATCAAACGGGCGACTAGCCTTCTATAAGATTCGGGATCCGGAAGCGGCTCTCCACTTGCTAAGTCGAGCTTGCGGTTTTATTCCATCGGCAACCCACTTGGTTTTGCACCTAATAAACCTGCTTCAGAAATAATGTCCAACGTATATTTTCGTCGACATAAAAATAACCCTGCAGAGGTACAAGCAACCTCGATGCCCAAAAAATATTTTAAAGGACCAAGGTCCTTCATCTTGAAACAATCATTGAGATAGGCTTTAAAGACAGTAAGTGCAGCGGAATTATTCCCAGAAATAATGAGATCATTGACATCGGCTAAGACATTTATTTGAATGTTAGTCTCAGTGTATGTAAATAATGAATAATCAGAGTAGGATTGTAGGAAACCATACTATTTTAAAGCCTTGACAAGCTTTGTGAACCAACATTTGGGAGCTTGCTTCAAACCATATAGAGACTTGCGTAATCTGCAAACCAAGTTGGGATCCTTACTCTCAAACCCGGGAGGTAACTTCATGTATACCTACTCATCAAGATCACCATGTAGAAATGCATTGTGAACGTCCATTTGATGGACTTCCCAATTACTTCCCAAGTTTTTTGAGGCTGCTATGGCAAGAACAGTTCTAACTGTTGTCATTTTGGCCACCGGAGCAAACGTCTCATCATAATCAATACCTGCTTTATGATGATTACCAAACACAACCAAGCGAGACTTGAGACGCTTAACATTGCCATTGGACAAAAACTTGGTCTTGTAGACCCATTGGCTCCCTTCCCGGGGGGAGATATTCCAGGGTCCATGTGCCACTGTCTTCCAGAGCTCGAATTTCTTCTTTCATGGATTTGCGCCACCCATCATACTTCATAGCTTCTTTGAAAGACGTTGGATCCTTATTTTGAACAATTGCTGCAATAAATTTCTGATAATTCACAGAGAAAGTGTTACAATTGATATAATGTGCTAGGGGATACGGAGTACCTAGAGACTGATTGGCAGGCGGAGACAGACTTTTAGCAATAACCGTGTGTGTGACAAAATCGCAGAGCAAACAGAGGGATATTTTTCACGAAAACCTCGACCCATGTCAACATTGTGCTCGGTTTGCTGCTGTTGTGACGAGGGAGCAGCTTTACCATGCTGCTGTGCTGCTTGTTGCTGTTGATCAGGCTGCTGGGCAGCAGCAGCGTGTTGCTGTTCTGCCTGCCGTTGTTATTCTGCCTGCTGGGTAGCAACAATAAGCTGTTGTTCGGACTGGGTAGAGGCAGTGTCCTCCGCAGCCCCCCTGCGGGCAGCAGCATTATGCCGCGGGGTGCCTGTGGAGGAGGCTGTCTCCTGCTGTTCTTGCGATTGATGCTCACTAATATCTCCCCCATATAATTTCAGTCACATTTTCAACATTATTTGCAATAAAATCATCATCACTCAATGCAAGTTCCGCAAAATCAACATGAACATCATCCTCCGTATCACAAATATTCGGATCAAAATTAACATCCTAGGGGCAACCAAAAGGAAAAACATCTTCCACAAATTTCACATCACGAGAGACAAAAAATTCCTTTGTATCAAAGGTCAAACAACTTCCATTCCCTTTCCCCAAACGGATACCCCATGAATACACATTTACGACTTCTACTAGCGAATTTATCTCCTTTAGTCTTTTGATTGTGAGCAAAACACAAGCACCTAAAAGTACGAATAGCACCAAACGAAGGAGAATTATCGAAAAAAATTTCAAACGGGGTTTTATTTTGCAGGAGTCGAGTTGGGGTTCCTTTTAATCAAATGAGCTGCAGCTAAACACATTCACCCCAAAAATAAATAGGCAATTTGGCTTGGAATCTCAAGGCTCTCCCAACATTAAAAATATGTTTGTGTTTTTGCTCTACTCTCCCATTTTGTTAAGGAGTACCCACACACGAGGTTTGAAAAATAATTCTAGTTGCAACAAAATAATCAATCAAACAATTAAATTCGGT